AGTTATAAACGATTACTATTTACATTTTTTTGTCAATTTCAACTTGAACAGGAATTACAAATCCATATATACAATATAAAGGATATATATTTGATTTTATACAACTTAAAATTTATTACAACAAACCTTTTATTAAAAATTTGAAAGTTATGAGAAATTATAATATACAGACTTTTTTTTAATATTTAGTTTTATGGTAAACGTAAAGAGACCATTAAAGATTGAATGCCTATTATATGGTGACCGAAACTAACCAATAGTTTAGGCATTTCGCCCACGAAAATTTTCTGGTGAAACTTAAAAATTGCGATTCTAAACTGCAGGCGAAAATCAAACGGATAATTGGAAATTTCTCTTGGAAAGTGTAAACAAATGAAAAATGAATTGTTACATCTTAAATGCTCAGGCTATAAAATGTCTCGGCTCATCCGCGATTTCTACTGTCCGTTATTCCTGGCTTATTAAAGAAGCAACACTTTGATTATTGAAAAATAGATCACAACCCCAAAGCCAATGTATCAAATAATCGCCGAATGGACGAAGAAATATAGGAGTTATAGGAATGTTCATGGTAACGTTTGTTACAACAATCTCATTTGGGATTGGTATGTCATTTGGAGGTAGGGTTCCTAACAGTAATCCTAAATCCTTATTCAAATATTCGTAAATCCAAAATTACGAATTTCGAATATTCGTAATCTATAATAGTAACTGTTTCAGATATTCGTAGTCGCTTCAAATATTCAAATATTCCTAATTATTTAAGATAATTGTAATCATTTAAAGGCTTATGTTCATTTCAAATTACTTCAAACACTTGTAATTTTGATAAATTTTTGTAAATAACAGTATATCTACCAAATTATATTTCTATAAAAGAAAAAAACCACATTCCATTTGGGCTTTGAGAAGACAATTTTGCTTGAACCTGGCGTATTCCTACACTTCCATTGGTCACTAAATGAAGCTCTCACGTGGCCTACATTTCTTATCATATTTTTTTTGGCTAGTGGTTGACGAATTATTCGGTGGTAATGGCAAAATAAATGAGAATTGGTTGTTAGATATCCTGCATATTCTTCACAACCATAAGTTGGCTCATATTCTAATGTTAAATCAACTAAACCACTCATACTTGAAAATTAAGGAATTAAAAATTATTTATTATTATCAAATATTATTTGTAATTATAACAAAT